ACCAAGTAGTTTGTTTCTGTGTTGTAAAATTCTATACTGACTAATTTGAATATTAAAAGAGCCCACAACAAGAACGACAGTGAGTTTTCTCATTGCCCTTGTAAATAAATGTAAGAGTCTGAAAGTGTTAATACTAAAAGTGCCTTAAACATATAGTCATGTAGATTTGGTGGGAAATCAGCTTAGGATCCTGAATGAGTAAGACCTGCCATCCTAGTCCTCATTGTCTCAAATAATTTCTTTCATATCATTCAGTTGCCAACATACACTTATTGCATCTTATTTTAGAAAAAAGGTATTTTGTTATGCAACTACCAACTTGTTTTCTTTTGCTACATCAGCCCAGCGGGCTCAGCAATGCCGACTCTAAAAGATGTTCATGGTGAGCAACAGTATATAAAGCTTCATACAACATTAGTGGTGAGTGGCATAGGTTACTCATACAACATCATGAGCAACAGTAAAGGTTCAATTTTGCTGCCTCATATCACATACTGGCAGTTTTGGAGATTGCTTCAGATGCAAATATCAGCAGGGAGAGCTGAACATTCAAAATTCCCTTAGAAGAAAATTTGTGGCACATTTCAACAAGGGAGAATCTGCAGTCAATGGTTTCAGATCTGGTAAGTGACAGCAAGAAAATGCTCGGAACTTCTTAGAGCTAGAGTATTAGTCACTCCAAGGCAGGTACAGATTGTGTCAGGATCCAGTGATCTGTAGGAACAGCTCCAAGTTGGGTTCGAGTCAGAGGGCAAACAGAATTGGATGCTCCATGAGTTAAGTTAAAATTAAGTGGACAAGCAAATACTTCAAAAACAGAACACAGAATTACTGGATGCGGAAGCAAGAAGGAAGAAAAAATACCTACAGTTATACCAAGTAACACAGCTATACTGAGCAGGCACCATGAGACATGGCTACAGTGAGTGAAAAATTGAGGGCTACAGTAGCAATCAAACTAAGATTTTAAATGCAAGAATGTGTGAAGCCAGAATGAAACCAATATTTTTAGTGGAATATTCAAGGCCTAAATGGACAAGGTCTAAGAGAAGAAAAAAGTTAAGAAACTTTATTAAGGCTGCAGAAAACATAAGAATGTTCCATTTTACTCCAGTAGTAGCACAGAGCACCAGCACTGCTATCACAGCGAAATTATCAGTTTCCTAAGCCAGTAACTTAAATAAACACATTGGAAAGACAAGCATCAAAAGGAATATTGCCAGCAATTTTAATTCCAGAGATGAGGATACCCTTCCTTTCATTGTATGTTCCACCATTTAGAATGATAAGGGCAGCAGATATATAGGAATACTGTCCCTGCAATTTTCCAGGCTGAGATGACAGATTTTTAGCCAATGAGGAAATCAAGGCTTATAGGGCAAAGGCAGGAAAATGGAGTTAAGGACCATAAAATCAATCATGGTCTCATTGAATGGCAGAACAGATTCAATGGCCTGACTAGCCTACCTCTGTTCTAATGTCTCATTAAACCACTCAGCATTGCTGTTCCTTCACCCTCGCTGAATCAAAATTCTGGAACTCCTTCCTTAACAGCATTGTGGGTCTACCTTCACTAAATGGACTGCTGTAGCTCTTTACCACCTTCTCAAGGGCAACTACAGATGACCAATAAATGCTGGTCCATCCAGCAAAGTCCATGTTGCCTGAATGAATTTAAAAAATGTGCCAAACAGAACACAGACATGCACATTTTAGGGAAAACAATTCTTAAGATACAGAATAGTTTCTAAATTTGATAGTAAATTAGAAGGCAAACAATTTAATTAACTTCTGCATACAATTGGAATTATAGCTGATGATGTTATAGCTTGCCAAAATGTAAAAGAAGCAGCAGGTAGTTTTTTTTAAGAAATCCTGAAATCTTTTGACAGTCACTTTAACTACAGAATAAAATAAACAAGGTTTAGTAGGAGAATTCAGCATCTAGGGAAATCTACAGGTAATTTCATTAATGCTCTGCAGACGAGTGAAGAAATGTGACAATAATTATTTAAAGTCAGAGTTCATAATAGACAAAATTGTTGTTGGAATTGCTGACGTGTCTTTAAAGAAAACCTATAGATGGGGAATGTAGTGAAGTTTGAAAGCAGCATAGATCAATCCTCAGAGGAGAAGATCAACCTTATCACAGGAGAGTATCAGAATCCACTCAGTGCTTAAGGTACAAAACCATAAACGAACATGTGATAAACTACTAAGTAAGACAGACACCAGATACTCAAGGTCCTTGTCAGCACCTTGTCAGCAAAGGCACCTCACAGTGCTCAACAGGAGTGAGGGCATCCAACAGAGCGCAGTAGTGAGAAGTGCCTGAGGAGGATTCTGGGAGAAGTTGGCTTGCTCACCACAACTGAGAAGGAGTTTGCAGAGGATCCAATGTCGAAGAATGATGAAGCCCCAAACATTACATTACTGCTGTGTTTCTCTCCCTTCATTCCTCTCTCTCTCTGTCTCTCTTTCCCTCTCTCCAGTATGGTGATCTTAAAATCTTAACATGGGTTTGCAAGACATACAAAACTGCACATGCTGAATAAATTCCATTATGCAATGTGTCTCCATGTTGACTTCCCTGGCCAACATCAAAATGGACCACATGTTTCTGCAGGAATGCAGGATACCTCACCTCAGCACCTCTAAGAAATGGTAAAGCTTATGGGGCCATGGCCATTGATCTGGTCAGGGATAAAAATTGTCATTCCTCTGTCTGGATATTCTGCTGCAAGGAGGCAACTTCACATCTCCAAAGTTAACGAGGTGGTGGGCGGACGCCTCCCCATAGCAGACGTTATGTACAGAAATTCTCCCCTGTGATGCATTCATGTGTATACCAAAGTAGTAAAAAGCATCCACTGCTGCTGGTGATGTCCAGGCCAGTAATTCTGGCTGGTAAATTCAACTACATCATCAGTGTGGTTGGATGATCTGGAGGGGTTGACAGCAACCTGGACACCATGTCCAGATTTCTGATGGAAATGGTAAGAGATGCCAAGTTGCACGTTGTCTTCAGCACTCCTGCAGATGGAGAGCAGTGTTAATACACCTGATTGTGGCCAGACGGGGCTATTCATTCAAGGATAAATGTCCTGCTTGCATCCCAAGCATTCTCAGATCCACTACTGTCAAGCCGGTATTCTTCTCTGACCACTGCTTCCTGTGAGCCAACTGCCACCTACAGGAAAGCTAGTAAGCTGGCAAGGGAATGTGAAGGCTGAGCCTGAAACTGTTGAACCCTAACACATTGACAAACTCAAAAGGGAGTACACAGGTTGGGAGCAGTGAAGCAGTTCTTTGAGTCTCCTGTGACTGATGGAAAACAATCAAGGGGAACATGGAGAGGTTCTTCATCCTCAAAGGATGTTCAGAAGGTGAGAGAGAGAATTGGGGTAAACTGTCCAAATTCCAGAAGAGCATGCAGAACCTACACTTGTAGACGACGGGAGTCAATGTCAAGGAGGATTCCAGGAGGTGAACAGCCAACAAACCTTGTTCTTTGCCTCAAGTTTATCTTCTGAGTCAGGGTCTGCTTCATAGGCCAGAATGAGAAGTACTCTTATTTCTCTTTCCAGAAGTGCACAGGGAGAGGTCTATGATTAGCAGCCTGAAAGAAGAAGATGGCTCGGTAATGTCATCTCAGTCTGACAATTTGAGGATGAGCAAATACTTTTATGCCAGACTGTTTGACATGAAGCCCATGGACAGAACACCTCGCAATCATTTCCGTTCTCTGTCATGAAGGTCTTAGATGGCACAGGAGAGGCTGGACCAGCTGTTATCTCTGGATGAGCTGACTTGAGTCCTTTCAGAAGAGTAAAATTCCCGAAGTGATGGCTTACTGCCTGAGTTATATTCAGCTCTTTGGGGTTTCATTGGCCAGGACTATATTGTACTATCTGATGGTGAACCATGATTAAAAACGTTATCCTGCAGTTACAATAGTGCAGTTATATCATCCAGTAGGTATATCACTTAACATTAAAGGCATGCTACAAACAACCCTCCAACACAGAGCATCAGTTACTGTAAAACTTATACATTCTTGACAATCAAATCACATGACTGTGCATCTTGGCCTCATTCTTCTTCAAATAGCAGAAGGAGTCAAGCTAGTTACAGTCAATAAACAACTGGCCCAGGAACATCCAGTCAAGGAACATTCTGTTAAGGAACACCAGTCACGGAACAACTGATCAAAGGATGATTGGTTGAAGATTACATTGGGCTCCCTAGAATAATTGTGGATGCCAAACAGAGGTGCTATCTTTTAAATGAGATACTAAATTGCCTGCCCTCTCAGCTTGATGTAAAAGATCCAGATGCAGGATTTTGAAGAAGAGTAGGAGAGTTCTTCTTAGTGATTTCGACAATATTTAGCCCAAAACCTACATCATAAGAACAGATTAATTGGTCATAATCACACTGCTGGGATCTTTCTGTCTGCACTTTGGCTGCATGTTTTACCAATAGTTGAGACTTCAAAAGGAGCTCATTGACTTGGAATGATCTGCTGGCTGTGAACAGCGTGCATGATCTTGTGGGTTAGAAAACTGCAAAGATTCACAACCCTCTTAAGAAATTCCCCCCATCCTATTCCTAAATGACCGACCCCTTAGGTGTGGATGCTACTGTCAGGATTTACTGTCAGTAAATTGCACATTTACTCTGCCAATCCCTCCCAGAAACTTCAATCTTTGGACGATCGACACTCGCTTTCTAAAATCCAGTGTGATCTTGGAACTTTTACTGCAAAGGAATGCGTTTGGGGTTTCTGTACAGAAACAACATTTCAAACAAATGAAAGAGTTGTCAACATGTTATGGGCGAGGTGGTAATTTTGTATTTGGGCACTACCGAAGTCGTTCTCGCTACCTCTTCCCTGCACTAAACATACCCTTTCAGTTTGCAAAGTGTCTTTTCAGTCGAAGGTCGATTTCATCTCCCCTTAGATGGACTACCTCTGGGGAAAAAAAAAGTGTCTGGCTCAGGAACCCGGAAGGGTGGGGATAGTGCAAGGAACAGCTGTAAGTTCGGCGTCATTTTACAGTTAAATTATTATAGCTCAGTTTGAAATTCAGGAAGTGACATTGGATTTCTCACATCCTCTATCTGAGAACTGAAGGAGGAATAAAATGTACTTTCGGTCTGACTGTCATTGGTAGCCCGAGGTCCGAACAACTGCGAGTGCACAGTGAATGGGAAGAGGCGAATCGTCTTTGCAATATATATATATAAAACGGGTCAAAATCCAGGTGTAAAGGGAGAAATTCCTGGTCCTAATGAAAACTTGATACTGGAACTGGCGTAGGAATCGATCGAATATGTCCTTGTGACCAGCTTCCGGTCTTTAATCAGCATTCCTGGTAAGAGAACATAATTCCTAATTTTTGATGAAAATTAGGACTTTGACTCCGGATTTTATTTGTTGTTCGCTTCGTACTTAAAATCAGTGGCTTCCGTGTTTGTTTTCGCTTTTTATTAATATGATCATACGAATCTTCCAGTTGAATCATGGTTTTACCTGTCACATGCATAGGAAGACGGTAGTAAATGTTGGGAATTGTCACTTTCTTGGGGGCTTTTAACATGTTTTGAATATGTTCTGTCATTTTTGGAGTGTACTGCTGTTTGCATATCACGCCCACCGAGGAACTTTGATGCGAGGACAAAATTCCTAATTCTGAATTGGTTTGGGTTTATTTAGCTTCAGTTCAATTTACTGTGGGAGTTATTGAGGATTATTTAATTCATTTGTTTTCAAAATATGTCAGGAGGGAGGACCAGAATATGAGATACCACGAGACGCTGAATTTGTAGTTGACTGTATATTGTCTGTACAAAAACAAAGCTGCTGGAAAAGCTCAGCAGGTCTGGCAGCATCTGTGAAGAAAACAGAATTAACCTTTCGGGTCAGTTCTCAGGAAGGGTCACCGGACCCGAAACGTTAACTCTGTTTTTTCCTTCACAGATGTTGCCAGACCTGCTGAGCTTTTCCAGCAGCTTTGTTTTTGTTCCGGATTTACAGCATCCATAGTTGTTTCGGTTTTTATATATTGTCTGTGTTGGACCTTACAATATAAAAACAGAAAGTGCTGGGAAAACTCAGCAGGTCTGGTTACACCTGTGGAGAGAGAAACAGAATTAACGCTTTGAATCCAGTATGACACCTATCTCTGCTGGATTGGATTGGATTGTTAGGGTTTTTTCATAATCCTGACTCTAGATTTGGAGATATAAGAGCCATCCCAAAAATAACGAACTTAGAAACCAGTCTGCAGTAAATATTTACTGAGGATCATCAGAGGGTAGTAAGTATGTGAGAGAAAATGGACTAAGACAAGGTGCAATTGAAGTAAAATTAAGTTAGTGTTTTTAGGGCCTTTTATTTATAGAGAGTGAGAAGGACTAAACATTTTGAGCTCCAGAGAGAGAAAAGCACAGGGAAAACAAAAGTTTAATATATGGCGTTAAGGAAATGTGAAGGAAGATAGGACGATTCAAGAAGCTGAATGTAAGAATAAGGGATAAATGTATATGGGAGGGGAGAGAGTAGAAGGTGGTACAATCACTCAAGGATACTAAATAATACTTGGATATTAAAAGGTGGTAGTTGGTGCTGCATTCTTGAACCCCATATCCTCCTACCCATAACAAGAGGATCCCTGCCGGCAGAAATTGAGAAACAACTGTTTTCCAAACCTTGTAATCATTCTTTAATGCTGTGCATTTCCATGTCTTTTTTTGGGGATATGGAATATAGATGTAGGGATATGGAAATGATAGGAAGAAAAATCCATCAGGCCTGTCCCTCAAATCAAATTGTATGTTTTAATTACTAGAACTTTTAGTACGTCTCTTCCTTAGCCAGAAGTAATTGGGTAATTTATAAATTGGACTATTCTTTGCTGCCCTGCTCAGCAACTGTAGTGCCAACTAGGGAATACAAACTGGAAGATTATGGGGTCAATGTCAATTTGTGTTGAAATATATAAGGTCTATATAAGACTTCCGCAACCATGGCTTAGTGGCACCAAGGCAACAGTTCTGTGATTCTGAACCCTCCAGTTCAGCTGGAACTTTCATACACTGTCTGCTGCCATTCCCTGGAATATGTGGAGGTGAATACTAATGCAGATTTAGTGTTGTTTGTGGTGGAATTACCTACCAGCTGTCATAAAGACTGATCATTTGTAGGAAGTACCATATGGCTGAGGGTGAAGGAATGTGTCATTCTGACTTGACAGCGTCAATGGTTCAGTATTGTTTGTTGCCATTCCTCTGAGGCGTAATGATTAGTGTGATCACTTGGCAATAGTACATTTATGGATTTTAACTTTCCAAACTTATTTTTTTTGTCTGGAAGCCAGATCAAATGTAGTGAGGACCAAGTGTAGTGTGTCAGAGTTTGCAGATGACACAAAATATGAGTGGTAGAGCAAAGTGTCCAGAAGACATTGAATGTCTACAGAGGGATATAGATAGGTTAAGTGAGTGGGCAAGGGTCTGGCAGATGGAGTACAACGTTGGTAAATGTGAGGTCATCCATTTGGTAGGAATAACAGCAAAATGGACTATTATTTAAATGGTGAATAATTGCAGCATGCTGCTATGCAGAGGGACCTGGGTGTCCTTGTGCCTGAATTACAAAAAATTAGTTTGCAGGTGCAGCAGGTAATTAAGAAGGCAAATGGAATATTGTCCTTCATTGCTGGAGGGGTGGAGTTTAAAAATTAGGGAGGTTATTCTGCAGTTGTATAGGGTGCTGGTGAGGCCACACCTGGGGTACTGTGCACAGTTTTGGCCTCCTTACTTGAGATAGGATGCACTGGCACTGGAGGGGGTGCAGAGGAGATTCACTTGGTTGATTCCGGAATTGTGATGGTTGCTTTTTGAGGAGAGATTGAGTAGACCGGGATTATACTCATTGGAATTTAGAAGAATTAGGGAAGATCTTATAGAAATATATAAAATTACGAAAGGAATAGATAAGATAGAAGCAGAGAGGTTGTTTCCATTGGGGGGGTGAAACTAAAATTAGGCGACATCGCCTCAAAATAAGGGGGAGCAGATTTAGGACTGAGTTGAGGAGGAACTTCTTCACCCGAAGGGTTGTGAATCTGTGGAATTCCCTGCTTAGTGAAGCAGTTAAGGCTACCTCATTGAATATTTTTATGGCAAAGATAGATAGATTTTCGAACAGTAAAGGAATTAAGGGTTATGGTGAGCGGTCCAGTAAATGGAGCTAAGTCCACGAGAAGATCAGCCACGATGTTATTGAATGGCGGAGCAGGCTCGAGGGGCCTGATGGCCCACTCCTGCTCCTATTTCCTATGAATTTATGAAAGTAAATAATTGAGTTGTGTGGCTCTTGGCTGTTGATTGTGCCCATAGGGCATTGGTACCAAACTGAGATTGATAAATGTTTTTTAAAAAAAATTACTACAGATTTTGGAAATGTGAAACTAAAAACAGGAAATGTTGGAAATGCTAACCCAATCAAATAGCCTCTGTGGCAAAAGAAACAGAAGCAACATTTCAAATCTACGTCCGTTTGTCAAAATTTGAAAATGTTAGAAATGGAATATTTTAAACAAGTACAGAGGCAGGAGAGGGGAAGGGAAGGAAAGAATTATAAAGTTTATGATATAGAAGGAAACTATTCAGCCCATCATGTCTGTTGGTTAAAAATATCTACTTTGCCTAACCTCAATTTCCAGCACTTCGTCTACTGCCTTGTAGGTTACAAAACTTCAAGGGCATATCCAAGTACTTTTTAATACAATCAAGAACTCTTCACTATACCTTTTACACTGATTCTATTCCACTTACTGTTGGGATACTCCCGAATGGCATTGTGGACCTACCTACAACACATGGATTGCAGCTGTTCAAGAAGCTGCTCACGACCTCGTTTGCATGGGCAACTTGGAATAGGCAATCAATGCTGGCTTGGTCTGTGATGCCTACTTCCCACGAGTGAATAAACAAAATTGAAATCTCCCAGTATTCCTGCCCTACTGTTTTTTTTCCAGTTGTCAGAAATTTATCTATGTATTAATTCTTCTACATTCATCTATTTGAGTCTGTAAGACACTTCCAGCTCATTTGCCAGTTTAATCTATATAGTCTCATCTGATGGTCTTTCCTGCTTATCAATCCTCCTAGCTGTTGTGTCTATCTGTGTTTTCAGCTCATTCACTAGACTCCTTACATTGAAGTATATACCTTTAAGTACTGCCAACCTCTTTTGTCAATTTTCTAGGATCTATTTCCTGTAAATTCTGTGCTTATTTACTAATCTTTTGTCTTTCATTTTCAGTTTTGCCCGTCTCCCTTCTGGATCTATGTTCAGCTTCTAATTAACCTGCTTAGTCACTTTAAACGTTCCCCAACAGCTCTCACAAACCTCCCTACAATGACATTGGTCCAGGCCCTGTCTATATGTAATCCGTTGAACTTGTAGAAGTCTTACTTTCAGCCAGAATCAGTCCCAAAACCTCAGGAGTCCAAAGCCCTCCTCCTGCACCACTCTTTCAGCTCCACATTCATTCACTATATCATTTGATTTCCATATTCACCAGCATGTGGTACCTAGAATGGTCAAATAGTTATTTGGCAGTACAGAATTTGAGTATTGCTGAAAAAAATAAACATTTTGTTGGAGTTTCTTCTCATCAGGACATTTGCAAGAATACCATTGTGATTCCACAATTGGACAATATTTGCTAAATTATTGTGAGCATGCTAAAAATTACTCTGACAACTAATTAAGATTGTCCGTTGGGCCTGCAGTGTGACACACTTGTATATACTGGAACTGCATATATTAATCCTCAGGCCCTATTCTTTGCAGAAAGAACATGTACACACATTGCACCTGTTTCAACTTATGTAGGTTCTCTGATTAATTTCTTAGGGCAATGCCTTGACCAATCAGAGTCAGCCTACCTAGTTTAAATTTAAACGAAGCTTGGCAGTTTACTGCAGTCCTCATCTAACTGATGCATTCTCCATGGTAACACCTCTTTAAATCAGATTTCACTAGCCAACCAATCAACTCTTCTCAGTCAATATAAAATGTTGTTCCCTTTTACATTACTGGTCTAGTGAGTATCCTGATGAATGCAAGATGAAAATCTTCACCAAAACGTGCCTATTCTGCAATATGCAAGAGCAGTTCAGATTATTACCTTTGAAGTTCTACTATTTTATTTATTTCTTTATTCCATAAAATCTTCCTGCAGGAATGTATCCTTGTTTCTATCTGTGTCATTGATACTAATTTTGACCATGAGCTTTGGCTGTTGCCCTTCCCCATATGCTGGAGTCATACAGTGACATCCTGGGACCAAGGAGGCAACAT